ACACATACATTTGTTTTGTGTTTTTTGAAAGACCTTGTTGGGGGGATATGTTGTGTATTGGGCCCCCTGTGTTTAAAATGTACTAGCGTGCTTTGCGCGCCGTAGAGTCAGAATAAAACATGGCGGACAAAGCCACGAGGTCTACACTTGTTTGTGTTAGTTCTTGTTAAATACAGGTCAAAAGACATTTGATCAGAGCTGGTAACTTATTTTCAAATAAGTGCATTCTCATTGTTGTGAACAGACAAGAAGAATGGCATAACCTATTGGTATAGAATTTTTATTGATTAATTCTTTACTGAAATAATACATGTATTTTCTATTAGAATGTTGTATTAAATTATAATATTCAATCATGTCAATTTTTTTCTATATAGTCTTACCTACCACGTGCACGCGTTCGTCTTTGTTCTTCCTGAGATCTGAATAGTCTATTCAAATATTGACCCATTGATTTATCTAGAGTAGTGAAAGACAAACTACTTTTGTATAACCTACAAACGATGGGAATATCAAATTATCACCTTAATGCATTTATTCAAAGGCATTTCTTCGAATCCGCGTTTCTTGGAATATGCGCTTTATTCCTTATTCTTGGAAAAGCGCAAGACAAAAGGGTCAACTTGTTTCACTCTCTCTATATTAGGCACGTCAGAGTGTCACACAACGCTATCTTTTGATGGATTTCCTGATACTGCTTTATTGATTTTGTCAAAGCGTGTTTCTGTCTTATTTAAGACGAGCAAAGTTTCTTCAAGCTATTTGTGCTTTATAAAAGACTAAGTTCGAAATAGAGTTCAAGTTCGGCAAGATACGTATCAAATTAATAATAATCAATAGCAATATATAGATATACCACAAAAATTCTGATTTCTGTATCTCCGGCTATTTTTTGGTCGCGTCGTTTTATGATCGATAGTTTTTCTTTTTTACAACGCAGTAAGTTCTGTTCTATCACATTCATAAAGAAGCTTGATTAAGAGCGAGTAGAAACCTGTATTCCTGTCCCCAATAATAAATAGACCGTAATCGCAATATAAAAGGAAACGAAACAGTAAGAACGACTGCGTGACTAGTCCATCTGAGCGCAACAACGTAAAAATGTTTTGCATTTTCGAACGAAAGGGGTTTGGGACGGGGTCTGTTCTTTAGCCAATTGTATTACCAATAGCAAAATAGGACCCTTATAGAATTATCTTGGTTGTGAGGCTCTCATGTAAATAATCGACTTATGGAGGAAATAAATAATCGACTTATGGAGGATTTGTGTGTTGTGTGTTTTCTTTTCTTTTT